CTCTCTCTGGCAGCACAGGTTGTATTTAGAAAACACAGCCCTTCACTGCACTGCTTCACCCTCACCAGTATTGAATCTGGAACTGCCATTGCTGAGATGTAATTCCAAAACCACTTTGATTGCTGGTTTTTTTTTTCCCCCCCCTCAGAAAACAAACATCTCCGGACCATTTGCTCCTAACTTTGTAACCCTTTGGTATTTTAGCATTCCTCCCTCCCTCAGTCCAAGCTCCCATAGTCTAAAAACCCACTGCAAACCCTCGGATGGCAAAATGAAACCTTTCTCTTTTCTTTCTCTCTTCATGTACTTCCTCCTCCCGCCTCTTTTTTCCCTCCTGTTTATGAATTTCTCCCTCTCTCCGATGCTTTTCTCCCTTTCTTTCTCTTCTCTAAAGCATAAACTTTCTCCGCCGCGAAGACAGAGGAGAAATACCCTTAAGAAATACGGAAACGATCTTGAGCAGAAAATAATCTGATGGATAAGGGTGAATCAGGCAGCAAACTGAAAAGGCAGAGGCTCCTCTCTGCAGCTCGGAGTTGGCAAGGAGCCACTGTACTTAAAAAAAAAAAAGATATCCATTGTATATTTAATTGTATCTACCGTATATTTAATTGCGTCTGGGCTCTCCGTTCCTCTAAAATAAAACAAAATAAACTCGGTGGAGATAAAAAGTCTCATGCGATAGATCCGAGCGTTGGGGTTTGACAGCAGCCGCGGCTCGGTAATAAATAAGAGCTTTTTCCTCCCTTCCCTTCCCCGGCTGCTGAGCTCCTCTCTCACGACAGACGAAAGCCCCATCTACTTTTAACACGGCCGCAGACAAAGTGCCCACGAAGGGACGGTTTGGGGTTTTTTTGCACTGATTAAATCCTTTATGCATTCCCAGATCTGCATTGCATCTTCCGCCGAGATGTATTATTGTCTGCGGCGAGAGTGATGTCCTTGCTGGGAGTTATTCTCATTCGGTTCCCTCGGCATGATAAATAAGTCTTATTAAAAAGTAAACTCCTCTACCCTGGCTGAGAAGCCGGGAATTAATTAGCAAACAGCAGCGCCTTTCTTATGAATAGGTTTGCTGAAATCGTCTGGAAGGGCTGAGGTGGGAATTTCTCCAAGGCCTTCCTGTCTGCCATAGGATTCTTAAGGAAGAAGAAGGGAAAAAAAAAAACCAAAACCGACACCAACACAAAACAAACCAAAAGGAAAACGGAGCGGGGAGGCTCGGCCAAAAAAGAAAAAAAAAAAAAAAAAAAAAAAAAAAAAGCAGCTAAAAATAACAGCGATTTCTTTGGGTTTTGTTTTGGAAACGTCCATAAAAGAAATTTACGATCCCCATTCGCCCAACGGCTCTTTTCGCTCGTGGCATCCGCCGAAGGTTCGCTTTGTACCTCATCTCTCAAACGCCGCTCATTTATCTTCGCCGAGGACGGCCGCGATCCTTAATTATTGACTCCGAGGGATTGTCGGCTTTCAAAAAAAAAAAAAAATGAAATAAATAAAAAAAAATCTCGGGAGGAATAATAAATATTCGATTCTCTCCTCTGTTCCAATTAAAGGCGGGCTGGATCCGCGCTGGGTGATTCGTAGAGCTCCAACTTTCACTTCGAGAGAAGGGAACGTTTAAGCACAAACTCTGCGCCCAGAACTTTGGAGTGCGAAGGTGTTGAGATATTTATCACTCCCCATTTTCCCTTCTCGGTCCTCCGAAAGAATAATAAAAATCGGGGGAAGGTAAAGGTGATGGAGGGCTGCGAGAAGAAACGGGGCTCTCGTGGGGGGGGGAGCAGCGGGGGGGGAAAAGGGGAAAAAAAAACGGAAGGGGGATGTATTTTGCTGTAAAAAAAAAAAACCCTTCCCTCCATGTTGGAAACCCTAAATTCACAACCTGCCTGTTTGTGAAGAAGAGAGGGGTCTTTCCCCTCCCCGCCCCCCCCCCCCCCCTCTCCCAAGGTACGTTTCCCACAGCCGGGCGAGCAGGAGCTGCCCCCCGGCTTTCATCGCAATTATTATTAATCATAAAGATCCTCAACGTTTGCCCTCCACCATAAGTCGGCTGCTCCAAAAAAAAAAAAATGGAAAAGAAAAAAAAAGACCTCAAAATCTCAGCTACCGCCTCGCAATGGATCTGCCTGCAAAAATAGAGACACATTCCTAAAATTTCCCCCCCCCCCCCCCCCTTCTCCCCCCCCCCCCCCCGGCCCCCCCCCCCCCAAAACCCCCCCGCTTGACAGGGGGGGGGGGGGGGGGGGAAAGGAAAAAAAAATAAAAAATAAAAAGGGCCCTGGATGAGGGCTGCAAAAGAGTCTCTGCGTGGAAGGAAGCTTAAAGCTTGTGAACTCTTCTTGAACCGAGATTGGAGTCATATGGTCATAAATCATTGGGACATATACTCCGCCATTCACAAAGTGATAGCCTATTTGAGTCCGGCTTACCTTAGTCTCTGACGAGCAAAGCACGGGCAGACATAATATATTTTCACATCCAGCATCCACGCAATCAATAAGCAAGGAATGACCCCCTTCCTTTAAAAACGTTAAAGGAATATACGAGAGAGAGGGGGGGGAAGAAAATCCGGCATATGGATGGATGGATGTAAAAAAAAATAAAGAAAAAACGGGCAAAAAAAAACGACAACAAAAAAAAAAACAGGGGGGAGGGGGCTCAGCCAGTGGAGCTTTCGGTTACGGCAGCTCAAATTGTCTCTCTGTCTCCGTTTGGGGAAGTTGCCGCCCCCCCGGGGGAGGAAAAATCAAGATGCTTTCCAGCTTCCAAGATGTGCGGAAAAGCTGAGGGCTTTGAATGGACAAACCCCGAGGTTCTGGTTGCCCTATAGACTGGTACGCTCTGCTCACTGATAACAATGGCCTCTGCTTTACCACAGCAAAGGGGAAGAAGGGAAAGGAGAAGGGAGGAAAAAAAAAAAAAAAAGAAAAAAAAAAGCAAAACACAAAACCACCCCCCCCCCCCCCCCCCCCCCCCCCCCCCCCCACCAGCCCCCTTTTAACTATGCAATGCTTGGCTAGGATTAAAATAATAACGAAAAGAATCCAGGCGACGGGGAGGGCGGGGGGCGAGGGGGGGAAAGAAAGCGGAGGGGATATTTAAAAACACAGATCGGGTTCGGATTGCTGGGCAAAGGCAGCGAGGCTCCCGAACAGCGTCACTAGTGAAAAATTATGCTAATTGCAGACGTGGTGGACAGAGGCCTAGACAGAAAGATAGTAAAGCTCGCCTTTGATTCACGTGTTTAACAATTAGGTGTCAATTTATGCTAATAAACCGTTTCAAAATAGTCATGGTTTCTCCCCCCCCC